TATTGAAGGAAATTTTCCTGACCTCTTTAATTTATACAAAATATGTCAGTTTTGCAATTTCTTATTTTTGCATTTTGATTTTAAATCTAAATATAAAATGTACGATGGGCTTTCAATAAAAAAATGTCATCTATCAGATTCCACAAAATCAGTTCATAGCCATTAGCTTGAGCTGTATTACTTCTCGATTCCAATTAATGAAGATTTACAAAGTAAACAATTATAAATTTTGATTGATTTTGTTTGTATATCAATATTAATGCAGAATGTTGTGTTTTTTTCGGTACGTGATTTGTAATGGCAATGTCAAAAATGTTTATGGTTTATTTTTTTTCCAATTATCGTTTCATCAAGCAATTTTTCTTGTATGAAAATATACTTTCAGGCTGCTTTTTCATCATATAATGTAACTTGGAATTAAAATTCCTTCTCCTTTATATATTTAGAAAATAGTGTTATGATTCATCATAGAAACTCATATTTATTTAGGAATAAGACTCCGCTAAATTTAAATCTAAAATATAAACTTTGAATATCTTAATTCATTAATTGATATCGAGAATTGATACAGCTCAAGCTAATGGCTACATTGTATGGACTGATTCGACATTTGATAATCACTACAAAATATTTCAAAAGGAAATACAAATGAAACGTACACTCTTCCTTAATGTCAACAGGTGTGATAATTATGAAGAATTCTTCTTACGGAGCAAATAATTGGATATATGATTTCCCCCTTATAAAATGACCTATCTGAGATTTTTAGAATTACATAATTCCAAATTTAACTTTTAACTTATCAGAGGGTCGTTAAAGTTTAAATCAATTGATTGTACTCACAGGATGAAGACCTTTTTGCTTTTTTGATCTCTAAGGAAATTGTACATCTTAAATATTTAATGAAATAGTAAAAATGCCATTGGTAAATTTATTGTAAAAAGGCTTAACTTTAAATCTCTAAATAGAGCGTGACTTTATAAAATGCACAGCAAAGGATGGGTTTCCACTTCATCAAAAATCACAAGTCCATACATATCGGAGGGCTGTAGCAAAATGGCGACCAACACAAACAAAATCATAGAACTTTTTGCTCTTTTCATCTTTATTCATGTAATATGTAAGTACATTTATCAATTTTATTGTTGTATTTTTAACATGATTAAATTTGCTCGAGCTCGTTCGTATGTAACCACATGTTCTTTATATCTGGTATGTTGTAAGGTCACTTCTGTAGATTAAGCTCAAACTTAAAAAAGACTGTTAAGAAATAGCAGCAATATTTTATGTATGTTCATATGATAAGCAGGAGGGTCTTACGAATTCTCTCCGAGGAGTTTTCTGATTTAAGGGAGCCGGCTGGGGTTTTATTGTGTTGAAAATACTACAGAGAAACTCTTTTATCTCATTTCATATGTACCTTATATTGACTTCAATATATATGCCAAGTTTAGTGAAAATCTAACGTCTGGTTAATTTTTTAGGGACCATCTCAAAATACAGGTACATTTACTTTAGGATAATATATGAAAATACCATTTTTCGCACTTCGGAGCAAATTATACAAATGCTACTATAGACATTTTGCTCAAATTACATTATTTGATGGGTAATACTATATTGTACATTTGTGCAAGAAGCATAAAATTCTACCGTCTGGTTTCCAGAGGGGGCATCTCAAAATGTCAAAATTCATGATATTTTCCTGTTTTTATGGAATACAACAAAATATGACAGATACCAATGATTTACATAAAAAATAATAAAAATGATTGTGAGATTCTCAATTTCCTATAATTAAAATTTCAAGAGCATCAATTTTATACTTTTTATTTTATGACATAATTAATGGCCCCGCTTAAAAAACTTCGGTTATTCATAATGTCAAAAACATACTATTACGACGTCTATATACACATTATTTGAAAAATCTTTTTAAAAATCAGTAATTTTTAACCTGAGATTTACTAAATTTGTAAATTAATAAAAATCATGTGAAAAAGGTTGCTATAAAAGAGTAAATACGCTCTATTTAACTATGCTGCCCGAAGTATTGCGCAATGAAAACCCCAGTCTGCCCTTTAAAATTACATCAAGTTTTTTTTTTTATTTATCATGTGGAGTTAAGGTGAACTTTCTATTCAGTTTCCTTTATTGAGTTTTATCTTTTTTATTTTTACACCTTGAATGTTCCGAATTTATATAGGCGTGAAAATTATGCTAACTTTGTATAATGCGACCCTTTTGTGTGCATGTAACGCAATATTATTTCGAATCAACGATATATTATACTGGTGTCATATAACTTTATTTTCTGCCATCAATTCGTGCGGTAAATAAAACGGGATGTTGGCATGTTTACAATTGTTCCATGCAATAACGTTATTATTATACAACTTTCATATTTTAAAACAACGGATTGGAGAAAATGAAATACAAGTTAATATATTTATAGTAATTAAAAAAATAATTAACAAGTATTGACCAGTTGCTGCTACCGAAGAACAATATGGAGTAGCGCTCCATTCCTTAAAAGTAATGGAGCCGAGGCCCCAAAGGAGCCGAGGCCCATTGCTTTTAAGGAATGGAGTACTACGAGTATATTAACCCGTTTAAAATCCACTGTTTTGAATGCTTGTTATTATTGTTTGTTAATATATAGGAACAAATGTATAAAATATACACAGTTAATATATATTTAACATATAAGTAGTATAAGTAGTATTAAATATATATAGAGAGAGAGAAAGGCGAGAAAAGTGTTATAAAGTAATTTAAATCTGTCATCTGTCTACAGCTTCGATAGCGTAGTGAGATGAGTGTCTGACTACCATGCTGAGGGTACCGGGATCGATTCTCAGCGGAACCAATGTTGTTCTTTTTCTTATATGAAAATAAACTATTTGAAAATTTCTAAGTTCTTTCCTCGGTAGAGGGACAGGAAGAAGAATTTGAACATAGCAAACGAGAAATTGAACAGAGTTAATACCGTGTTCAGTGTAATTTGCAACGCTCTGATCCTGAAAAATAATGGAGAGCTCAAACAAAAGAGTGACGTCACAAGTGGATTGATTGATATTGATATTGATTGGTATTGAGTAAAAACGACACTAATGTACGCGAGGAAAGAATATTTCTCAAAACCAATAGTCGATCGATATGCTTACATATGAAACATATGTAAGCATATCGACCATTGGTTTTGAGAAATATTCTTTTCTCCGGTACGTTAGTGTTGTTTTTACTCAATACCAATAATTAATTGCATAGGATCATACATTATCACCTTCACATTTTACCCATCCTAAAACCGTGGTCATATATAAAAACAAAAATCCAATCGAAATTGCACTAGACTACTTGCATTTAATAATTATTTTTTTGTTGAGTATGTAGAAATTTAATTCATAGATGTAGCACAACTTTAGCTTCTAATGTGCTTTAATATACAAAAAAAATCCTTATCAGAACGTTTAGATATTTGCAAAATGTCACTTTCTGGGATATTTGTACAAATGATATAATAACCTTTTACCATGAGAAAAAAAAGTCAGATTTGGCGGCAAATATCGTGAACAATAATGACAAATTTCATTTATTCATTTTCATTTCATTTAAGATTTCGATACTGGACAGCAACATCTCTGTAGAACAACAGACTTTACCGATGAATGTGGAAATATAGGGAGTCTGTGGAACTGCAGTGGTCTCAAAATTAACAGAATTCCAAAACATTTCCCAATAACTATCGAAAACTTTGGCATAGACCTTTCTAAAAACAACTTTAGTGAAATATCTATTGAAACGTTTAATGATATTCCTTAACATATCTCGCTGAAAGTCAAATCCATATATTTACAAGGAAACCCATTATATTTGATCAAAAGTCGTGCCTTTTCACAATTTCAAAACCTTTGTGCATTGGATTTAAGCAATTGTAGTCTACAGAAGACTTTCTTCGAGGAAGGCGCCTTTGCTGCATCTCTTAACATGAAGTATCTTAACTTGAATAATAATAAGTTTCAATTTGGTTGATATCCCGAAATAGAAATATCTCGTTTGGTCGCTTTACAGCGCCTTTTTGTTGATGTTTTTTATGGATTCCAATTTAATGAATCCTTTAAAAAATTGAAAAAATTGCGCAGTGTTGAATTCAACCTCATAGGATCTTCTTTTCATTTGACAAATGTAACGTTTTACGGATTATCAGAGTCACCTATATACTATCTAACCATGGAGTTTAAACATCATGTATTTTGTGACGTAAGTGAAGATTTATTTTGTTCATTTCCGTTTGTGAAGGGAGTTGATATCGACTTTGGAGGAGATTGTGACTTAATTCCCTGTTTGCGGGCTCTAAAATGCCTTAAAAACAGATCTTTAGAATATCTCAACCTGCATGAGAACAAAAAAACATTTCTAGGCAGCAATATCATACTTTCTAAATGGAATAGTGAATATTTGTTTAACATTTGTGCAAGATCACTTGATATTAGTGGAAACTCAATAGTAGGGGTGTCTGTTGATCCTTGCAATACACGGCTGAGCCAATGTATAGAAAAATTGGACATATCGTATAACCATATCGTGCAAATAGATGCAGAACTTGGTTTACATCTGTTGAGTAATTATCCAAAACTTGCAGTCATAAGAGCCGAACGAAACAACCAAGGACAGGCACCAGTGTCATATTCTGTATCATCTTCACCTTGGTATACTTCAACAATTACAATACGAATTTCAAAGCATTTGCGTCTCTTCGATTATTCAAATAATTACATTCACAACATACAGGTACCGTATAAGGACTTAAACATAAGAATTTTTGGAAGTAATCTGGAAAAAATGTTCTTAAGAAATACAAACTTTCCCTGCAATTCTTTGACTTCCATGTATACCCCTAAATTAGAAAATCTAGATATTTCAGTTAATCAGTGTAACAAAATGCATTTCCAAATATTCAAATTCTCCATTAATTTAAAATCTATAAGAGCGTCGAATGTTCAGCTGAGACTTGGAGAATATTCTGAAAGTCAATATTTATTCAATAATCTTTCAAAACTCCAAACGTTGGATTTGAGTATGAATTCACTAAAATTCTTACCATCTTATCTTCTTCGTGACCAAAACAAATCAATACACACTATCAACCTCGACAACAATTTCTTTTCGTCCATTCCATTTACAATGTCACTGTTGAAAAACCTTTCAAATCTGTCACTTCGTTACAATAGGTTCTCTTCGTTCCAGTCATCTGATATTGCCATCTTGAATCAGCTGAAAAAAGTAAGAGTTTTCATCGAAGGTAATCCAATTAGTTGCGCATGCTCAAAACTTTTAACCTTGAAGTGGATGAAGGAAAACCAAATACACATTGCAGATCTGCAAATTACAAAATGCATTCAAAGCAATCAAACTTTGTCGGACCTTTTTCATGATGATACCTTCAGAACACTTGAACTGAACTGCCAATCCAAAGAATGGCTGATATACACAACTTTTGTCCTCTTTGTCATCATTATCATATTGATTTCAGCGGGTGCAGTGAAAAGATATCGCGTGCACGTAGATTACGTCATCTTACGATTGCGCAACAGATGGAAAGGTGTCATGAAAAATAGATCAAATGAAGATCATGAGTTTGATGTGTTTTTGTCGTATTCTGAGCACGACTACGCATGGGTGATTGATATATTGTACGAAGAATTAACGAAACAACGCATCTGTGTAAGTCTACCTGAGAAAGATTTTATTCCCGGCCTTTCTAAAGCTGAAGAAATGTTAAGGTGCATCGATAACAGTCGAAAAGTAATTTTTATCGTCACAGAGGAGTTCTTGAAGAGTGGATGGGAGTCTTACGCTGTTCAAATGACAGTTACTCATGCTTTTCATAACCACAAAGAGCAATCTATCATTGTTTTAATGAAAGATGATATTTCTACTGAAAATATGCCTAAAGATTTAAGATACATATGGTGGTGTATAGAAGTGATAAATATGTCCGATTTTCACAACAAAGTAGACTGTTCCATCTGGGATCATATTGTTTCTCTCTCGCGTCCAGATTTAAAGAGTGCACTTACGAGTACACAACAGCTTAAAAAATTGCATTCCTTGTTATTCTAGGGGGGTTCTACAAATTATTTATCAGTTTTCTTATGTTCATGGGATATATGTATTTCTAGAATGACAGGAAATACACCGGAATATGTAGTATATTTGTTCTTGTTCACATAAAATGTTTGACACGGAAGGAGGGGCTGTCCAAAGACAATAACTTTCGTTTTTATTTCCAAGATCTTTTCAGTCCCCTCCCCCCAAACAGAAATCAAATGGTCGTACCCTTTTTATTTCTTTAAAAACCCTGGACAAATAATTCTAATTTATATAAATTTCAAACTTTTTCGAAACTGAAATTATTTGTCTTCTGGATCAATCAGTAACACTGTGCTTACGAGCATAGCTGAATGAGTTAGATTGAAAATGAATTTCAAACTAGAATTTCAATCCAATGTTTTCGCAGACGCTTGTGCCGAATTTTATCCGCCCATTTCATTGTCTAGCCTGAAGTGTTTTGAATGTGTTCACTAACAAACATTAGAATCTTCTGATTAGAGTTCCCACCACATAACGTTTATTACTTCGTAACAATTTATTTTTGTGTGGCGTATTGCATTATTTTATTATTTTTACATATAATGAAAAGTTAATCCCAAATGTCATTTGATCTGAAGTGTTAAAAAACGGTATGTCATTTAGATTTTTTTCATTTCATTTCAAACCATATGCTCCTTCATCTTTCATCATCTGTGAGGTTCTACTTGTTGAAAACTAAGTCAAGTGTATTTCTTCTGGTCGAACTCTGACTCTGCCAAATAACGTTTTTGATCAATTGAAGACCACATACATAATCGATGATCTGGAATAAAACTTTTTTTTACTTGAAATGAAAGTAATTTCTAAAATATCCTTGTCATTGTTTTTTTTTTAGATTTTCACCCCTTTGTTTTTTTTTCCTGACGTTTTTCTTCCATTGCGGCATACTAGTATGCTGCTATATCCTATTTTGAATGCGACTTTTTTGTTATTTTTGTTGATGCTTTTGTTGTTGCTTTGTATAACCTTGACCTTACCGATCAAATGATAAGATTTTTGTCTATTATACTTGTACCTATTCATAAATATTAAATTATTAATAATCATAATTGTGGGTTCTTTATTTATTACCTCCTCTTCCTCAGACAATCTGAAGCATCTGTGTAACAAATAAAATAACTAATATAAACTATAGTAACCTTACAAACATATAATGTCAGAGAATAAAAGTTTTTACCAAAATTAAGTACATGTATTTTTACTACGGAATCCAAGTCACTATACTTTTATACATTTCGATCATTGTTCGTTTTTACCCTTTTCATTATTAGTATTCCGATTCTCAATGCAACGTTTTATATTAGACATAATATTTGTTTGTTTGTTTGTTGTTTAACGTCCCTCTCGAGAATTTTTCACTCATATGGAGACGCCACCACTTGCCGGTGGAGAGCTGCAAATTTTGACCTATACTCGGCACTCAATGCCATTGAGCAGTGAGGGATCTTTTTCGTGCCAGCACCTACTGCGACATAGGACCTCGGTTTATACTGTCTCATCCGAAGGACTGGTCTCCACGTCCCTCAGTGGGATTCGAACCCCCGACTTAAGGATCAACTCCTTACTCTGCGACTCTAGAGCAGACACTCTACCACTGCGCCATGCGGGCGATGACATAATATTTAAATTGTGTATTCAAATATTTATTCCTAAGCTTCCATCGTTAATTTGCTTTATTGTTTGATTATTGTTGACACCGAATCGGAAGTATTTCACCCAAATATCGGCGGTCCATCGTTAATTTGAGAAATATAAATGCACCAAATCTTTGAAGGAGCTCGAGAGAAACGTTTCAAAATGCTATAAAGTGTGATAGTAAAATGTCAAAGTATAACCGTAAATCAAGTATCAAAGTTTCATAGTAAATTAAAGTATTTATGAAATATACTAAATTATAGTTAACTATTATAAAGTAAAGTTATTAGAACAATTTTTTTGTTTAGGATTTCTACGAAGTTAATGAGAGCCCTGTAAAATCAACTTATTTGAGAGTAGTTTGTTCCAGTTTTAAAAATTGATTGTAGAGTCATGCTCTTGCGCTATCATCTTCACATTGGAGACCTGCACCATATGCAAATGATGGTGGAATATTACTATATTTACATGAATACGGGGAGCTGACGAGGGCAAAGTTGAATTGAACATGTAGTACACGTGTTTCAGTGTCATTAAAGTCTATAGTCAGTAACACATCGAAATGTGAAACAGATGTGACAGACTCTGGTATCTTTTATTTAGAGTTCAATGGGATATATCGAGTCAACATGTGAATGAAAGTAAGTATTGTTATTTGATAAAATGTCGTCGATATATCTGATTAATTGATTGATTGATTGATTATATGTTGTTTTACGTCCCATTCGAGAATTTTTCACTCATATAGAGACGTCACTATATACCGGTGAAGTGCTTCAAATTTGGACCTTTACTCGGCACTCAGGGCCATTGAGCAATGAGGGATCTTTATCGTGGCAACGCCTGTCGTGACACGGGACCTCGGTTTTTAAAGTCTCATCCGAAGGACCCGCAACTTTCACTTCAAGTGCCGAGCGCATGGCGAAGGAACAGTTGCTACCCATTTTTTATCGACTTAGGTCAGTCGTGGCCGAGATTCGAACTCACGACCTCCCGATCACTGAGCAATATATCTGAATGTCAGGTTGAAGGCCACAGCAAGATTTTTGTTCTTCTCATGAAGTTTTTTTTAAGAAAATGTGATTCGTAAAAAATATAGAAACAGGAAACGGCTTATGGAGGGATTCTTCTAATTTTTCTTGTATTAAAAAATTGATGAAATTTTCAGAGATTCAAGAAGACATTAACACTAAATGATGGTACTAATTAAATTAAATTTGACAGGTTTTTTTTTTCTTTCGAAGCAAGGTGAGCTTAATGTCATTCTCTTTTTCCTTGACATGAAGAATAAAAAAAATATTGTTGCCTATCATATGATGCCTGCTTCTATTTCAAAAGATTATTTTTTTATTTTTGCATAAAAAGATGTAACCATACCACGTTTATCACAGGATACTACCAAACTGACATTAATAATTTAACTAAAATATAATTAGCTAATCCTAATTTCCTCTATTTTTCTTAAATATTTAGGAAATATTAATTATTATTTTATATGCTTCGTATTTTTAAATTTTTCTTTTTTTCACATAGGCAAAGTAGTCACCGATTACTTAGAGAGGAAAATCACTTTGTACTCTTCTTTGGCTCAAATCTGTACTAACATTGGAAGATTTCAAACGATATCAAGGTTGTAATTTGTTTGGAAAATCATATTTATTTGATATGATTTAAAACTCTAGTCCATTATTATCAATTTAAGGTATGTCTCTCGTCAGCTTTTTAGAAAATTTCAGTCAGAACCTTTAACTTCAAAACTATATATTGCAATTCAATTTTTATAACATATTTAAATAAAAAAATGCAAATTATTCAACACTCAATTAAAAAATGCTCACAAATTCATAAAGAAACAAGATTTATGAAGGACTATTCCTTGAGGTGGAAGGATATTTAATAGAAAATTCTTCAAATCTACACATTTGTCAAATTTAATATCTTGAAACTTTAGCCCCGCATATTTTTACTTAGAGAATATTTTCCGTTATGAAATGCTAGGAATATTAAATATTGGTCCCAATTATATTTTTTAGAACAAAGTTTACACATTCACGCAACAGACTTTGCCAAATAATGAAGATGTATTAAAGAAGTCATGATAAAATCTACACCATTTTTTGCTTGAAAATCGCACATTTTGACCAATATCTCAAAATTTACATCACTGACCCCAACTTTTTCTTTCCTTATTTTAAACAACACGATACTTCCAACCAATCTGCACTTAAGTCATAAAAATTTGATACAAGAAAATATTTTATTGCATACTTAGATTTTTTAAACCCCAAATATGATACTATCTCAGTGCGAAAAGGTCACACAATAATTTATGCGCATTAATTTGCATGATTTGTTCAATGATAAATATTATTCAAACTGTTTTACGTAAAATAAGATCATATTTATTGCCATAATTACATCTGATAAAATATGATAAGGATTAAAGTGATTAACCAAAGGGTTACAATTTAAGTGCAAAAAAGTCAACTAAATTGTACCGTAGCTCAGTAAGATGCACACTGACCCCCCATTTTCTTTCCGATTTTGAGTCATGCTTTATGAGTACTTATCTAAAATATACTTCTCAAAAAATCCTTGATATAACAAATTTCACAAGTGACATACCTTAAGTTAAATAGAAAATTGAAAATAGAAAAAAAAGTCTTTGATTGTTTAAAAATTTTAAATTAATTTATTGTTGTTGTTGTTTTTTTTTTTTTTTTGTCTTTTTTTTTTTTTTTTTTTGTCTTTTTTTTTTTTTTTGTAATTTTGAGAAGCAGAAAAAGTGATATTTTTCATACGCCGCCGTTCCGCCAAAAATATAGTCCCTGCTAGATTATAAACTCAGTTTACCATTTCTATTTAAATTTGTGCAATGATTAAGAGGAAAGAAAAATACATGTGTATGATCTTTTAAATCCCTTACATCTAAATATATAAGATATATAAGCAAATATACTTTTTTTTAATCAAAAACCAGACAAGAATCCCTCCTTAAAAAGGATAACAATTAGTGTTCACCGTAATTCCTACAGATGAATTGTTGGACATAAATATTGTCACTGAGGAACAACTGCATCTATTAAATAAAAATTTCAGATTACTTGTGTTTAAAATTATAATAATTTTTAACAAAGGAATATTTTAGATGACCTATTACAGGATATGACAATTTCCAAACTCCATTTTTATTCAAGAAGCTGTAGAAATGACGTCAAAAACTTGGTCTTTATCATAAGGAATGGTGTGTATAAAATGTTCAAAGGCCATACCTCCTCATATTATTGACATATCTTTAAGACAATGCGACTTTCGACTTTTGAGTAATCATAAGT